CTTGTTCCTTGTTTCCTTCCATCTCAGTCTCATCACCATGTATGTTCTCGTTTTCCGAAGGTTCCATCTAAAATTTAAAGTTTGTATGTGATAATAAACTTACAAAATTTGGATGATATAAGTCAAAACCCTAACTTATTAATAAAGAAACTCAAAACCATAGAATATGATCATTATAATCCATAGAATATGATCATTATAATAAAAAAAGTCAAAACCCTAACTTATTTAAATAAATTGACCAACAACAATAATAATATAATATACTAATTTGGGTCCACATTAGTTCACAAATCAAGAAAAAGTAGGCAAATAGATAAGGTAAACCAATAATTTAACAAGAAATGATCAAGTGAAGGTGAAGAATGTAAGCATACGGTAACAAATCAAGAGGGAGAGCCGAGAGGGAGAGGCCGAGAGGGACTGAGGGAGAGCCGAGAGGGAGAGCCGAGAGGGAGAGTGGAGTCGTCGGCCAGCCTCTCACCGTCGGCCAGCCTGTCACTGTCACCGTCGCAGCAGGCGTCGTGGACACTGGAGAGGAGAGCGAGCAGCAGCAGCAGCGCGTCGTGGACCTGTGGTGAATTGCAGAAGTGATCAAGTGAACTGGTGACTACCTTGGAGGGAAGGGAAAGACTAATTTGGACTTGGTGTGGATTGGGCTAAGGAAAGGATGCATTCTATTATCTTTTATAGCTAAAGCCCAAAGTCAGAAGCCCAATTCTTATAAAACATATATACACATAAATAACGGGTACGGGGCGGGGCGGGGAGTGCTATACCCGTCCCCGTCCCCATCCCCATCCCCGGATTGCGCCAAGCGGGGATCCCCGTCCCCGTCCCCGTACCCGTTTTTCGGGGATTCCCCGTCCCCGATCGGGACGGGTGGACCGGGTTACCCGACGAGTCGGGGTCCATACCATCCCTAGTTGAATTGCCCTAGTTGAATTGCTAAGTAGACCTTTCCTTTGGCCCTTGTAGATGAAATGGATACATTGAATCGAGTGGTAACCCTTTTACTTTACCCTATAGTATAGGCGGTGCACCTACGATGTTCGTCATCTTCACGTAATCTTTCTGAACCAGAAACCGTTGGGTTTGGTGTCCATCCTCTTCTATCAATTCTGCATTTACTTCTATGTTTTATATACACTCCTCCTACTTTCATCAAACCCATCTCTCACCAAATCCAAATCACCACCTATGGCTTCCTCCACCCTCAAATCCGCCGCCTTGATGGACCAGATGAAAGCTCACTTCTCTACCGACGCCGGCAAAGCCCTGACCAACAAGATCGGACTCGTTTATCAAATCAATATCGCTCCCAAGGTTGGAATTGTTAGGGTTTTGTTTGTTGTTGTTGAATTCATTGATTTTTACAACTAATTACTTGCAATTGAATTAATACATCGTGATCTCTGCTCTTTCACATTCCTAGAAACTTGGATTCAACGAGGAGAGTTACGTTGTCGATCTCAAAAAAGGAGAGGTTACCAAAGGTCTGGAAATTTCCTGAATAATTGTTGTTATTTGTTGAATCGCGATAATATTGTTCGTGTGTGCTATCAGCTGCTGCTTTATAATCAATTAGGGGTAATTAGGGATCAGCTGTTCGTCCTTTTCATGTTAAGCTTGTTCTGCTTCCAATTATCAGAACTATAAGCTTAGTTCCTGCGATGAATAGTAGAGAATTTGAATGTTGCTTGTGTATTTGTCTGTTTGATTCTTTTTTGAAAAAAGAACACACAACACCTAGTATTTGATCTAACTTTGAGCTCCATGAACCAAAATTCTTCTGTGCTTTTATGATCAGAATGTCACAAGGTTGCTAAATAAATCCTTGGAAATACATATAAATTAAAAATTGCTAGCTCTATCCCAATTTTATTCTCAATCAGCCCTGTAAACTAGAAAGAATTGATTTGATTTTTAGATTTAAATGAGCTGTACATCAGAGTATGATCATGTAACACATGAACCTAAAGGGCCATTTACCATTCGCTTGCTGGGTACACACTTACCAACAAAGGGTCACCACTCTTACTTAACCTTGTTAGGTAACATTCTTGGTCATCAAAATGGATTGTTCGTGTCTGTCTTTTACATGAGAAGGTAAGTGGCACAAGGTAACCGCTTGCGTTTGGTAAACTAAAATGTACTGTTAACTTTTGAAATTCGAAAATTAGCTGGTTTGAATTTGGGGTAGACGTTCTTTTTTAGGACATGGAAGTATTACTATAAAGATGGAAAACGAGAAAGAGAAACCTAAGATGCATCTAAAAAATTTCATGGTTGTCAAAGACTTTAATCAATTGAGCATTACATAAATTTTCTATCCATGTTAATATGCTTGCTTCAAAAGTTATAAAAGGGAGCTGCTTACCAGATAAGTAGCATGACAACAATCCAATTCCATCGGGTTTGTAATTTTGAGTATTTTCATAATCCGTCAAGTTAGTTGACTAAGGAAATATAAAACGAAGGCAATGAGCTTAAGAATATAGAGTAATTACTATTACAAAATCTTGTTTGCTTTCACAGTATCATGCCTGTGAGTTGTGCTTGTGAAACCCAACTTTAAACCATGGGTATTCCTAAACTGTTCTCATCTTCATTAGGCATAAATCCTAATCTTATTTTGTGAGTACATTTCTAGTTTTAGTTATGGGTTGTCACATGCCAGGGTGAAACGTTAGAGAAAACCGTTATTTCTTCGCAAGGACCCCCACTAACAAACCTGAACAAGAGGAGAGATGACGGTATCCTTTTCCCTAAACATCCTGCGGTTTGACTTGTCATTATTGTGGGTACATATAGGTCCATATGAAGGCGGAAAGCCGGATGCCACCTTTTCTTTCACAGACGACGACTTCATCAAGGTTGCCACTGGGAAAATGAACCCCCAAATAGCTTTCATGAGGTAAAGATTGCCATTGCCATTTCCCAAAAGCTATCGACTTTTCAATCCAACGGACTTTATTTTTCATGCAAACAGATGACTGGTACTGTATTTTGCAAAAATGAGTGATTTGGGACAAACGTTAACCAAGTACTATGCTTTTATTTGCATTTACATTTAAACGATGCGTCTATTATTGTTACTGAATCTAGCAAAAGATATCCTTTTTGTTGGCATTTAGTTTGCAACAAAAGCCAAAAGCAATTGTTAGAAAGTCTTTATATCATATGTTCTGATCATCTAAATGGGAACTTGATGGTGGTTTATGCACACAGGGGTGTAATGAAGGTGAAGGGTAGTTTGAGTGCAGCCCAGAAGTTCACACCTGACATCTTCCCACAACCTTCAAAGATGTAAGCAAGGTTTGTCACCTGGATTATGAAATTAGATGAGATTAATTATAAAACATAAAAGTATGCTACTTTCTCCAGTTTCTACAAATGAAATGAAATTACTTGACCACCAACATTATGGAAATTGTTTATTGTATGTTCTTGTTCCTTCTTTGCATATGGGTTTGGTTTGTATACTTGGTTCACATAGTTAAATTGCAATTTAAAACCAGATTTGATCTCTTGTGAGGTGAGGATACTCGTTTACGTAAACTGTGTGAATGCAAGAATTCTCAATTCTCTACGATGTCTAGACGATAAAAAAATTTCAGGAGAAGACCTTTCCCTAGTACGAGAGGACCGGGAAGGACGCACCTCTGGTGTACCAGGGACTATATAAATGGATCAATTTATTTTTTATTTCCGTTGGAAATTATGAATAGATGGACCGTCTAATTTTTTTCTTGTAAAGAAACCATTTTTACATCAATCGTTGAAGGGAATTAGCCCTTTGTCTCTATGTTTTCATATCGAGGATTATTTGCAGATGAAGAGATGTCAAAGGGGCTTTTTACTCCCCCCAAAAATTCCTCCTAGATCTCTGTCATCTCTATATAAACGCCGGCTTAACTTAGAATTTAGAAATATAAATAGAGATTATTTCTTCTTTCAAATGCCTGGAAAATAGTAGCCGACTTAAACGGGCCATGATGTCAATAGCCAATTCACACCAGGTCAGACCAAGCTTATGAGCTTATTATCTCAGGTCGGAACAAGTTGAGAGGATCCCTTTTTACGTCCCCATGCCCCGGATTCAGAAAGATAGAGAAAAATGGAGGTTTTGTTCTCTATTTTGCTCAAATAGATTCTAGATTGTTCTCTAAAACAGAGAAAACAAGAAACAACTTCAGCTTTAGAAAATCGTCGAAAACTTGCACTTGATGCGAGGAGAGATAGATGATTTAATTTGTTCATTTGAAAGATTGAGTTTTTATTATTTTATATAATTTTTTAAAATATGTGTATTGGATGCTAAAATTATAGAATATTTTAATGTTCAAAATCTATAAAATAGAGAATCTTGGAGTTGAAAGTAATAATTTTAGAGGTTTTATCTTTTGGTTCTTTAATTCAGATAAATTATAGAGAATCTATTGAAAATGTTTTAAACTTAAACTTGGGGTTAAAGAGAATTAAAAAAAAAAAATTGTTCATTTCTATTGATGAGGTTGAATTGTTATTATTTTGTTAATTTATTTAAAAAAATGTATTGAAATGATCGTTTTAAAAGAATATACTTAATATTGAAAATTTTAAAGTAAAGACTATGTTGGAGTTGGATATAGAGATTTTAACTTTGATTCTATATTTTAGATAAATTATAGTAAACTAGAAAGCTACTCATGTAATGCAGTAAGATAAATCTTGATTTTGATGTTTCATTTTATTATTTGATTTTATCGATGTTATAAGGTAATTTTATGTGGTTTTGCGAAAACAAAAATATTTTTATTTTTGAATAAATTATAAATTTGATATATTACAAAAAATTAAAAAAAAATTAATCTATTTGTATCAAATTAATTATTTGAAAGTTTTTGGTTTTTATGGAAAACAATGAGGTTTTATTTATTATGATCAAAATATTTATGAAATGTAATTGAAGTTCATTTATTATAATCAATATTTTAGATTAATAAATAGTCCTCATATTTAAAAACCAAATATTCATTAACTTGGAGGAACAATTGAGATTGGTTTACATGAAGAATATGAACGTGTTATATAACATTAGAAGGGTATTTGTGTAATGCAGTGAGATACATCTCGATTTTAATATTTTATTTTATTCTTTGTCGCTATCGATATTATAATTCGATTTTATGTGTTTTTATGAAAGCGATAACAATTTTATTTTTTTAATAAAATATAAATTTGAAGATATCATAAAATTTTGAAAAAAAAATATATCAACGTTAGTATCAAACTGACTATTTAAAAGTTCTCATTTTTTGTGTAATTTTTTTAATTTAATTTTTTTTAATCATAATTTAACTTAAGTTTAATAATGAAGTAATTTACTTTTGATTTAATAATATAACATTTTATAAATATAATAATTAAGTATTTTTTTTAGAACTCAATGATTATCTTAATTATATTTTAGATTTTTATATTTAAAATGAGATGTTTGTCATGTATTTGATTATATTTATTTGTAGTTAGTTACACGAATTCAGACTTGGAGCTTTAATAAGTTGTACTTACGCACAATTATAATCTTAAAGTTTAAGTAATATGCATCAATAAACATTACTTTATACATAAAAAATAATTTTTAAAAGTTTTTTCTAAATACTTTATAATATAGTATAGATAAAGATGGACACATGATGTCGTGTAAGTAGTTCATAGGTTTCTAATCATTTAGGTTTTAAATAGAATTTTCCTTATTATATATATATATGTATATATATATATATATATATATATATATATATATAGGGACCTATTCAAAGGAGAACTGAGTTGTTTGTGGTAACTGTGAGAACCAATCTCAACCAATTATTTTAATATATTAATTATACAATTAAAATCAAATTAAAAGGGTATGTTAGTCAATTCCTAATTTAAAATTAAATTTTAATTTTTTAAAATGCAACCGTTTCAAATATAATAATTAATATTGATTTACATTCCTAAAATAAAATATTAATATGATTTAGTGAAATAATTTCAAAAAAAATAATCCGTGTGTAAACATGTTCATGATTTTGATGAATCACATGAAATCACACATATTTGTTGAAGATTGTATCCATAATAATGTGAAATCAATAAGTTTTTTTCTGCAAAAAATTCATCCTGGAGATTGATAACGTAATGAAGAACAATGGTAAAAATCTTATTGATTCTTCAATTCATATCAATTCTGATGAAGATAGTGTATATATCAATTCTCATGAAGAAAATGTAGATGTTCTGGAGGTTGTGACATGGGAGGCTAATGAAGAATTTGATGTTGGACTTTCTCCATTTAAAGATGTCCAAAAAAACTGTGAAGAAATCGGTTTGGTAGAAGATATTGAAACTCATGTAATTGATGATACAACATGCTACACATCGAACAGTGAGATTCAGAATGATGAAAATCCAGGTTTTTGTTTCATACAGCTGTTGAAAACTACGTTAATTCTACAATATAATGTGCTCAACCTGATTTGTATCACAATGTGTTATCCAAATTAGTTATCATAGCCTCGTTCACTTTACTTATATTCTTGGTGTGATTCTTGAATTCTTTAATATCTTCTTGGTGTTATTCTTGAAATCTTTAATATCTGTTTTTTATTGTCTATTAATTTTAGATGTATTTTGTTGTATTA